TCCAATTAATCTTATAAATAATTACAAATTGTTCAAAAAAAAAAAAAAAAAAAAAAAAAGTTAAAATTAAAAAAAAAAAGAAAAAAAAAAGAGCTCGACATTGGGTAATTGCTGGGCCTCAGTGGAGCCCAATTGAACCCATATAAGGGTGATGCGGGTCCATTTTTTAGGTAACAATGATATCTGAGGCTCGGTCCATAAACGGATCTGAGACGGGAAATTCGACCCAATTCAACCCTCCGAACCGTTTTCAAACGTAACAAATAAAATTAAACTCGAACTAGTAAAAACCAGAAGCCTCCATCTACTCTTACGGGGAAACCCTAGAACTTCCTCAGCACTTCCCTCCATTTCTGCCCATCTACTTTGATCAGCAACAATGGCTGCCATGCTGGTAAGCATCGGGAAAGTCTGTTACTGACTGTGTAATCCTTAGATTTGAATCTCCGGTACTGACTAATCTCTGTGTTTGTGTGATGTGTTGTGCTGGTACAGCAACCGCAGATCATACTGCTGAAGGAAGGGACGGACACGTCGCAGGGGAAGGCGCAGCTGGTCAGCAATATAAACGCCTGCACGGCGGTGGCGGACGTCGTCAGGACCACTCTTGGACCCAGGGGGATGGACAAGCTCATCCATGACGACAAGGGCAAGGTTACCATCTCCAATGACGGCGCTACCATTATGAAGCTTCTGGATATAGTTCATCCTGCTGCCAAGATCCTCGTCGACATCGCCAAGTCCCAGGATTCTGAGGTCATCTTGAATTCTTCATCTTCTATGTTTCAATACCTGAAAGCTGAGATTTTTTTTTTCTATTGTTAATTAGTGTCAAACTTGATTAACAGTTCATAATTGTTACAAAAAATAGTATGCCCTTCAATTCTAGTAGTTGGTGGATAGTAGATAGTAAATGCATTTTCGCCCTTAATGTAAACTTTTTTTGGATAAGTATATAAAATGGATTGAGATCTGATTGCTGTCGTCTGAAATGTGATGTTTGTCTCTGCACTCGGGTTATCTCCTTGTATTTTCATTTTTCCATTGGACTTTGTGTTCATGAGAAGTCTTTGTCATAAATTCATTATAGAATCATGTATTTTAAAGAAATAACCAGTTAGATGTGTCCTGTAGGTTGGTGATGGAACCACAACTGTGGTTCTACTTGCAGCAGAGTTCTTGAAGGAGGCCAAACCTTTTATAGAGGATGGAGTCCACCCTCAGAACATGATAAGAAGCTATCGTACTGCAGGACACTTGGTATTATGGCTTTTGTTTTCAATTATTTTCATTTTATATGCATTTTCTGGAATTTGCTTTGTAATCCCTTTTGTTTTGTATGTAACCTTTATGTTATGCAATATAACAGGCAATTGAGAAGATCAAAGAACTAGCTGTTAGCATAGAGGGAAAAAGTCGGGAAGAGAAGAAAAGCTTATTAGCAAAATGTGCCGCAACAACCCTGTCCTCAAAGCTCATTGGTGGAGAAAAGGAGTTCTTTGCATCAATGGTTGTTGATGCTGTCATTGCTATTGGGACTGATGATAGGCTAAACATGATAGGAATCAAGAAGGTGCATGGCTCTATTTGTCATGGCATGGTTTTACATTTAATTAGTTTTTTACTTCTTTTTAGGGAAAGTTGTGTACTTCCTGGCAGTGATGCTTTGAAACAAAAGTAATATGCAATTATGCATTCTGCCATCTCTTTATCACAGGTTCCTGGTGGTACCATGAGAGACTCTTTTCTAGTTAATGGTGTTGCCTTTAAGAAGACATTTTCGTATGCTGGTTTTGAACAGCAACCAAAGAAGTTTGTGAATCCTAAGATACTCTTACTAAACATTGAATTGGAATTGAAATCTGAGAAAGAAAATGCTGAGATAAGGTACAAATTGTTTAGTTTCTTTGATTTATTTTCCTTTTCCAAATAGTTTTTGACCCTGTTGTTCTCTTCATCTGCCATAGACTTTCAGATCCATTGCAGTATCAGTCAATTGTTGATGCAGAGTGGAATATCATCTATGATAAGCTGGATAAATGTGTTAAGAGTGGTGCCAAAGTTGTTCTTTCACGGTTGGCTATTGGAGATCTGGCAACACAGGTTTGACATTTTTGCTGGGTTCGGATCTGTGTTTTAATTGTTCTTTTTTGTGGATTTTATTTGTTAAATTAGCACATTTTCTGATGTTCAGATTTAAATGTTAATTTAGTGTTAATTTTTATTGTTAGTTGCTAAATTTTGACTAGAATTCCATTTAAGTGACATGGAAAATAGAGTACTAGATTCTTGTTGAGCATCTGTTTTTTTGTGAGGGCTTAAAATGGGCATTAGTGTGTGGAAAGTTAATTCAACCATGTTGCTGTTATTCAACACTGGTTTTCCTTTCCATAATGGACTTCTATATACTGTTAGTTGATAGTTCTAAATTCTAATTATGACTAAAAAGCATCTTTAGTATTATTAACAGGATTGATTGTTTATGAACAGTATTTTGCAGATAGAGATATTTTCTGTGCTGGTCGTGTAGCTGAGGAAGACTTACAGCGGGTTGCTGCTGCAACTGGGGGAACCGTACAGACATCAGTTAACAACGTTATTGATGAGGTTGAATGCCTTCTTTCTTTTCTTTTCTTTTTTGGGTTACTGAGCTACTGTTTATCTTCAAATTTCTAGCCTTTAGTAATACCTTGTTTTTTCTTGTCCTCTTTTACTCCAAAGGTTCTTGGAAGTTGTGAGATTTTTGAGGAAAGGCAGGTTGGAAATGAGAGATTTAACATATTTAGTGGGTGTCCATCAGGATGGACGGCCACTATTGTTCTTCGTGGTGGAGCTGATCAGGTCTGTCGGTAATTGAAAGAAGTGTTTTATTTTTATTTTTATTTCTATATGTTTTTGTGTGGATATTTTATGTTTTTGCTGCAATTTTTCAGTTTATTGAGGAAGCTGAGAGGAGTTTACATGATGCAATCATGATTGTTAGAAGAGCTATGAAGAACTCTACTGTAGTTGCCGGAGGCGGTGCCATAGATGTGTGTATTTATGATAACTAATGAGACTGGTAAATATTCTTTAAAATGTTTATTTTACGAAAGAATAAAACCTGCTTTTGGTGACAGATGGAGATAAGTCGATACTTGAGGCAACATGCACGTACAATAGCAGGGAAGTCTCAGCTCTTTATTAACTCTTATGCAAAAGCTCTTGAGGTAGGTTTGTTAGAGAAGTATAAAGATGTGTAGCTAATAAATTGTCTCTTGTGAACAGAGCTTATTTTCTGCTTTGTGGTGTCACTTGTGTTTAACAATGATTGATACTTATATCCTTATGAGGGATCTTCTGATGTTGCAGATTATTCCACGGCAGCTGTGTGACAATGCTGGATTTGATGCAACTGATGTGCTGAACAAATTAAGACAGAAGCATGCACTTCCATCTGGTTGTTACTTCTTTCATCCTTTACTCTCTTTTTTTTCTCTCTTCTTTCCATCCTATTTTTAAACAAAGATCATTTTGGTGAAATAAACATCAGATACTTTGTTTCTGTTGTTTATGGGGGGTATCTATATCTGAAAGGGGAATTTCGTCTGTGATGGGTGCAAGAAGCAGATTGTTTTGATGGTTGTATATTTTGCAAGTTTCCTTATTCCCTTAACAGGTTGAGGTTTTGAACAGGTGAGGGTGCACCTTATGGAGTGGATATCAACACTGGTGGAATTGCAGATTCATTCTCTAATTTCGTTTGGGAGCCAGCAGTTGTTAAGGTTTTTTCCTGTCATCCGTAATAGTTATTAAGTTGAGAATGTGCTGTTCAGTCATTTGCTTATGTTAATCTGGAAATTTTGGCATATGTGGTGGTCTTGACAGATAAATGCCATCAATGCTGCTACTGAAGCTGCATGCCTTATTTTAAGCGTGGATGAGACAGTAAAGAATCCCAAGGTATTGAAAATGCTGTTCAATATATCCAAGGGCTTCCATGGGCCTTAATACTAACATGAATTCTTATTACTAGCTGATTAGTAGGTTTTTGCGTTAATGTTACTGCAGTCATGATCGTTTATAAATGCCTTTTAGTCATGATTGTTTAATGTTGCAGTCTGAGAGTGCTCAAGGAGAGGCTGCTGCAAGTGCCATGGGTAGAGGGCGAGGAGGTGCCTTCCGTGGTCGTGGACGAGGTATGCGGAGACGATGAGCGTTCCAGTTTTGAAACCGAACTCGTTCAGGTTATTTGAGTTAGGTTTTGCCCCTCATATTTTCATGTGTGTTTTTGAATGAAACTATCTGTCTGAATGCGAAATTGCCTCCCCTTGCCATGCTTTTTTAATGACACTTCGCCCAAAAGTGGCTGCTGCTCTTTTTTTGGTTAGTCTGTAGAATTTGCACTCGTTTTTTATGCCCATTTTAGAGGAAAAATTTGACTGGCAATCAGCTCTCCCATGTATTGTATACTATGGAATGAAAAACAAGAACTAATTTTATTTTATTTTATTATTTTTTTTATACATGTTTATCTTGCTTAACATACTCATCTCTTTCGGATATTTTTTAAACACAGCTAAAATTATATTAATGAAACAAAGTCATACGTGATCTACATTAAACAAGCAAATTCTAATGTCATGGATCAGAACTTACAATTAGGCATAAGACATTAAGCACAAATGGAGATATACAATAAGAGTAGATGAAGATCAACGTTAGATTAATATTAAAAAGATGGTGAGTAGATTATGCAAACAACCTGTGAGAAAAACTAATATTCACATGTTTTCTTGATTGAATGTTACATTGTTAGTGGACATCTGTCAATCCATTCTCAGAACCAATCAGCACAATCTCCTTGATACCTTGGCTAAAGGTCCATGGTAACAGCAACCAACCTTTTAACTTCTACCGTATCATCTTCTTGCCCAGAACCGTAACAAACAAAACAAAAACACGAAGAACTGAAAAGAGAAAAGAAAACAAAGATCACCGAAAGGTAGACCTGGCAAACGGGCGGGTTGGGTCGGGTTAGGGTCGGGTTGACGGGTCGGGTGGATTTTTGCCAGGTCTACCGAAAGGGTCACATAAAAAGCCGATAGACCACTGAAGGTTGTTCATATAACACCATCTGATCATACATATAAAAATTAATCTAAATAACTAAATTCAGCGAGAGGTAGTAATTATTTTATGTCCATTACTAGAGTCTTATAACTTCAAAGCCTGCATCTTTTTCCCAAGGATCTCGCACCGCATTAGGCTCCCGATGGTATTGAAAGCCATCTTTAAATCCTCCCACCGATCTCCGGCCGCCAATCTCTTGTACAAGTAACTATCGAACGTCATACGCTGCACGTACTCGTCGCTGCACAGCTCCACCAAAGCCTCCCTACTCGCATTGTTCCTGTAAAACACTCTCTGCAACAAATCCAGAAACCTGAACGTAGTCACGTACTTCCTGTCCCACTCCCTCAAGTACTCCCTCTTCAGATCATCTTCTCCGATCATCCGGTCTCCGCCGTCCGACGCTCTCACTATAGCTTCTCCGCACATCCTCCCTGATTTCGCCGCGAAGTATATTCCTTCGCCGGAACATTTTGTCACGTATCCAGCCGCATCCCCAACGAGTGCCACGCGTCCTCTGACTCGGATCGCACGTGGGTGTTCTGGAATTGGGTGGGCCTCCACTTTGATCACTTTTCCGCCGTCGATTTTGTC